TAGAACCTACCTTGCGGGGTTGTTGTGAGGATCAAATACTATAAAATTTGTAAAAAGCACTTAGCACAGTATCTGGCACACAGTAGGCACTATATAAATGCTTATTTCCTTCCTTTTCCCTTCCCCATCTGCATCACCAGAGCGAATACCCACATAGCTGAGATCACAGGTCTGTGAAAGCATACCTAACACCTATCACAGTCCCTTCTATAGTAGGTGCTAAATAAATATTCACTGACTGACTGAATACTTAAAAACTACGTGAACTTGAGTAAGTCACCTAACTATTGCCCGAATTGGGAGCAGCAGAAGCGTAAGATCCTTGTGAGATGGCTAAAGCATAGTCCTGGCTGGAGGTAGTGACCCAGATTGAATGGTCTCTGCCTACCCTCTCCAGCCTCAGAATCCCCAAGGCTATTAAACAGCTTGATGCAATAAAGTCTGATCAATACGCATGAACAGTGTGACACGGTAGGTAGCCAAGATTAATCAATCAACAATGACTTGTTAAGCACCTACTGTGTGCTGGGCATTATGCTGAGTTTTGGGGATACAAGTACGAGGCATGAAACAATCCACACCTTCAAGGAGTTTAGCTTCTATTCTGACAGAGGAGAGAATAAGGACGTGCGTAAGTATTTGCAGTATAAATATAAAAAAGGATAAATACAAAGTAGCTAAATACAAGGTAGTTTTGGGGGGTAGGCTGTTATTAGTTATAGGGATCAGGGAAGGTTTCATGCAGAAGATGGTGCTTGAGAGGTGGTCTAGGAAGTGCAGGGAGGAAAGAATGCCTTCTGGGTATGGGGGACAGCCGGTGCAAAGACACAGAGATGGGGGTTAGAGTTGAATTGTGAAGAAAACAGAGACCAGTCTGGCAGTATTACAAGGTATAGGAAGGAGAATAATATAAAACTGACCTGGAAATATAAGTTGGGGCAAGGTTGTGAAGGGTTTAAAAAGCTAAACAGAGTGGTTTATATTTTATCCTAACTAAATATAAACTATATATAACTAAAAGGCAGCTGTCAAAGATGATTGAAAAGCTGAGTGACATGGTCAGATATACATTTAAGGAAAATGATGTTTTCATCAGTAAACTGAATTTTGGAAAGTAGAATCAGGGAGACTGAGAAATAATCTAGGTGAAAGGTGATGGGTGCCTGAGCTAAAAGGGTAGCTGTGTGAATAGATAGAAGAGGTTGGGTGCAAGAGATGTTTTAAAATGGCAAGATTTGTTGACTGATTGTACAGGTGGGGTGAGAGAAAATGAGATTATGCTAACGCCAAGGTAATGAATCTGGGAGACTGGAAAAATAGTGGTGCCTTTCACAGAAACAGGGAAGTTTAGAAAATGGATGCCTTTGGAAAAAGAAAACAACAAGAAAGTCAGTCCTGTTTTGGACATACTGAGTTTGAGATATTGAGACATCTAACTTGCCCCTTGTCCATTCTATTGGCATTCTATCCCTTGACAAATCTTAGTCCTGGCTTACTCTCATCATGTGCTTCTTCTATTCCTATTAGTTTGAGATATATAGCTTGCAATTTCTAACAAGCAACTGGTGATGTGGAACTGAAGCCCAAGGGAGAGGCTGAGGCTGGATATGAAGATATTAGAGTCATTGACATAGAGATGAGACTTAAATTCATTAGAACTGATAATGTTACTGAGAGAGAAAGAAGAGAGAACCTAGAATTTAGCACAGACCCTCGAGGAATATTCATAGTGAAGGGCTGTGATCTAAGTGATGAGTCAGCAAATGAGATTGAGAAGAATCAGTTACACAGAAGGAGAATCAAGACATAGAAGTGTCAGGAAAGTTGAGAGAGGAGAGAGTATCCATGGAGAGAGAGGGAGGAGGTGGGGAAAGAGAGAGAGAGAGAGTGCAGTCAACTATATCAAATGCAGCAATCAGATTAGGCAAACAGGCAACTCTAGAGAGAACAATTTCAGTCAAGTGACGAAGTGGGAAGCCAAATGGCAAAGGGTTCAGGAATGACTGAGAAGAGAGGAAGTGGAGGCAGAAAGTATACGTAGCTTTTTCCAGGAGTTTGAGAAGGGGAGAAAATGTATAGGATAATAAGTAAAGGAATGGTAGAGTACACTGAAAGTTCTTTAAGGATGAGAAACACTTGAGTATGTTTGAAGGAAGTAAGGAAAGAACCAGTAGAAAGATAAAGGAAGAAAGAGAGAGAGAGAGAGAGAGAGAGAGAATGATTGAGGTTTCAGTCTTCTGGAGAAGACAGGAGGAAATCAGACCAAGCGCACATGCAGAGAAGGGTTGCCTTGGCAAAGAGAAGACCACATCATTATCAAAGACTGGAGGAAAGGCTGAAGGGCTTTGATATGAAGAAATAGAGAGCTCATGTCAAATGGCTTCAATTTTCTCAATAAAGCAAGAGTCAAAGTCCTAAGCTGAGAAAGGATCAGGGAAGGGAAGATGTCATGGTTTGAGGGAAGAAAATTTGGAAGAGACTTTTTGGAAGTGAAATAGGGAATCAATTAGAGAGGAATAAAAAGATGGCCTTGCCACATAGTTGAAGTTAGATAGCATGAATGCATCAGTGATGTGACTTCCAACTACATTCAGCAGTACATGAGTAGGAATGGAAGAAACACATGATGAGAGTAAGCCAGGGCTGAGATTTGACAAGAGATAATTGCAATAGGTGCAAAAAGATTCAAGAGCCAAGGACAGCATAGAGTTGAGTTGGCTAACTATAGGGTTAAGATTGGAGAGGGAGGGAAATGAAGGCAGATTTTCCAAAAAAGAGAGAAGTGACAGTTAACAGAAACCATTGGTTTGTGCCCTGGTCAGATGATAGCTGCAGTACCCACTCTGTGCAGATTACATGCATAGATGAAATAAGGCACAATCCTTGCTCCCAAGGTCTAGTAGGGAAGTAAGACAGAGAAACAAGTAACTTTGCTTTAAGATAGTATATTGTTCAGTGAATAGGAAAGGCCCAGTCAAAGTGCAGTGGCATGTTTGAGGAAGTTCCTGCTGCTGGAGACATGAAAGAAGGTTTCATGGCAATTCCATGTTCCATGGTGATGTCTCAGAGCAAGAAGGGGAGGTCATTGGCCCAGCCAAGTGTTGGCTTCAGGGAAAGTGGGGAAGAAGCTGAGCAGATAAGAAACAGATGTACTTTGATACAATGGCTTTAGATTCATACCAGAAGAACCCCATGTAGACGAATCACCAGCACTAAGTGCTTAAGTGCTCTTGATAGACTTATAGGTTTACCTGTGAGTCTAATCATACCCTACAATTCCTCACCCAACCCCCACTTTCCCAAGCATTTCTTGTACCTATTGTAGGGCTCCCTAATGCCAATATTCTCTTAGTTCAGGTTTGAAGTTGGGATAAAATAAGGTAATTGTGAACAAGTCACTGAACAATTAACAAAAAGAGATTTACTTTGCCTTACAGCAAAGGATATACAACGATACAATAGTGCTTAGGATGAGACTTCCTCCTCCCCCACTCATCATCTCCATACGGAAGATAGGTAGGATATGGGGGAGGACATGCATGGTCTTCGGAAATCCACCAAGTCAGAGAAGCCTCAACTGACTACAGGTGGGACTTCTTAATGCATTTAGGTAACCAGTAAGTTTCATCAGAGAATCAGGGGCCAATCAGGTCTTGGGACTGCTTTGTCTCCTTTTAGGAAAATTAATGATCCATGTTATAGCAGGGAAGGAGGAAGGGTGGTCTAACATATTATGAGGAAATACTGGTAGATTTTAGTCCCATTATGGCACACAAAGGGACCATGTAGTCCATGTAGTCTATGTGAGTATGAAGTCTGCCCACTTCCCATGGGCTATTTTATATACCGCTGGCCTAACCACCTGACCCCAGAAGAAATGGAAAGAACTAGGAAGATAATATGGACCTGGGTATTTCTTCCCCAGGCAATGTGTTAAAATGGCAGTGGATTTGGAGCCAACAGGTATGGGTTTGAATCTCATCTCTGCAACTTACTATCAGTGTTACTTTAAAAAAGAACTTAACCTCTGCGGGTTTCAGTTTTTAAAGTTAGATGACCTTTAAATTTCCTTCCAGCTCTAAATCCTATTATTTAAGTGTGACTTGAATAGGCCCAATCAAGGGAGACAGAAAGTTCTTGTCCAAGAGAGAATCACAAAATAATCTGGGCAAATCCCTTTGAGACCAGGCAGAGTTTTCAGGGTTTAAAGCCAATGGAAAAATGCCCAGCCCATTGTGCCAATTTCTTCAATGTTAAGATGAGTTCATCTAGCCTCTCTGTATAGTCTGGCTCATGCCCTCTTCATGTTAAGTCTGACTTTCAAGCCCCTCCCTTCCTGAGTCCCACACTCATTCTCCCAGGGTCACTGAAGGTCAAATTCATCTCTCTGACTTCCTCCTACTCCTCCCTCCTTTCCCAATCTCAGTATCCTGGAGAGCTTGGACCATTCTGGGTAGAACAACTTCTAGACATCAAGAAAGGTAAATCCTGGGGGCAGCTAGGTAGCATAGTGGATAGAGCACCAACCCTGAAGTCAGAAGGACCTGAGTTCAAATCTGTCCTCAGACCAAACACTTGACACTTTCTAGCTGTGTGACCCTGGGCAAGTCACTTAACCCAATTGCCTAAAAAGAAAAAAAAAAAGAAAGGTAAATCCTAAGATATCAGATTATTAGGTTGTCCAGGGCTCAGACCACTACAATTCCCTTCTGCCTCATTGTGAAAAGTGACCAAAGTGTAGATCCTAAGGTCATTGGGCAAAAGCCTGATTGCCCTTGAGGTTGTGTTGACCAAGGCAACCTTCTCTGATGTGACACCTCCCATGTTCAGAGGTGATGTGTGAACTTGGGAAAAATCACTTCCACTCTCTGGACCTCAGGTTCCCCCTGCCAGATAAAGAGTTCTAGCCTGGGTGGGGGACGAGGGCCCAAGCACTCCATCTGTACACACCCACCCCTAACCCATTCCCCCAACCGAGCACCATTGCATTTTGTTTACAGTGACGACTCCTACACCCATGCCGGGGGTGGCACAGAGGACCCTTCGGCCAGCAGATCCAGCGCCCAGGAGCTGCAGGAGGAGGAGCTGCTAGGGGCAGGGGGGACCTCCGTGCTGGCAACGAAGGCCAGCCTCCACCACACAGCCTCCCCTGGCCGGCAGCAGCATGCCAAGGTGCTCTGCTCCCATGCCCCTGCTGCCTCTGATTACGAGCTGTCCCTTGACTTAAAGAATAAACAGGTACCCAGGGCCTCCACGGGGAGGGAGGAGGGTGGGGAGGGGAGGCAAGAAGGGGCCCTGTTTCTGGGGATTGTCACTATGGTTCCAGGTGCCCTGCCCCTCCCACCCACCACCCCAAGGCCAACTCCTCCAAAGAAATATTTATTTAATTGTTCCTCAGTTGAGCCATCTTCCTTGCAGAATCTTTCCTGCATCCCTCTTGGGAACCTAGGGCAGAGACCAGTCAATATCTCCTATCCTTTAATTCATTGTGATGTAGGACCTTCACACAGAACGTTGAGCAGATCCCCTTAACACCAGGCATCTGAGCAATGCCCAGGGGCTGTGGCCACTGCTGCCCTATGACCCTATAGGGAAAGCATGAACAATTCAGGTCATCTGGCAACTAGGCAAATGCATCATTGCCTTCTAGTGGAATAAGAAGATCATAGATATAGAGCTGGAAGGCACCTTAGAGACCATCTCATCCAACCTCCTCATTTTAAAGATGAGGAGACTGAGGCTCCGGTTGGTGCTTTGCCCAAAGTCACGACAGTGGTAGGTGTCAGAGCCAAAATTTTAGTACAGGTCCTTCTGACTCCAAATTCCGTGCTTTTTTCCATTGTGCCACAAAGTCCATACAGTGCAGAGAGCCCAGATCATATACCTGTCCAAGAACTAGATGGATCTTGAAAGAATTGAGAAGGGAGTATGGTCCTAGGTATTTCTTGTCTTGGGCTGGACCCAAAGACGGCAATATGGCATCATGTCAAGAGCACTGGATTTAGAACTTGAAGTACTGGTTCTGTTATTTAACCTATTTGGGGCTCAGTTTCCTCATTTAAAAATAAGGTGGTTGAGTTAGATACACACCCACCCACTCAAATATAAGATTCAGCATGAAGGGCCCAGGCATGATGAGATACTCCAGATTGTTATCATTAGCTTCCCTTTCCCTGATTGTAAGATGTGTGTCTGTTGGAGGGGTGGGGGAGGAATGGAGATAGGAAAAGCTCTTTACTTGGCATAAAATAAGATACTTCCAGATTTTGACTCACTGTGAGGGTCAAGGAGCCAGGGGATGTGGAGAATAAAAGGATTTTAAATTTTTTTCGGTATTTTAGCAGAAGTTAGGGGGAAGCCTTCTTGCCAAGATAATTGCCTGAAGGGAAGGCAGTCTGCCCAAATCTCATATACCTACTCCAGTAAAGTCCTGAAGTTTGCACCAGACCGACTAACGATACAGAAATCCAATGAGAAACTACTCTAAGTCACTTCTTCCATACCAGAACTGCATAAGAGGTCAGCCAGAAGCCCAGCAGCAATAGAAATGGAAGGCCCTCTAGCAAAGTGTGCATTCGTGTGACAAGAGATGGGACACATGTAACCTGAAAGACTTTGTGTCTAGAGGCAAGAAGAATGGAGGGCCACCCTGAAAAAGGTCCAGGGTGATCAGAAAGTCCCAGAGTTGGGCACCTCAGAAGACCTGGGAGAGTGGCAGAGGATAATGACCATCATGATGCAGTGTCACCACAGCATTCAGACCAGGACAGCCAAGGACTAGGGTTCCTAACACTTCTGAGACCCCAGAGAGGGCCTTGAAGATCCGGCATTCTGAACCTGAAGATACAGGAAGTCCTAATCCTGGGAGGTAGAGGGAAGCACAAGAACCCAGAGAATTCAAGATGAGACCAAGCAGTCCTGCCAATAGAAACAGGATACAGAACCTGACCTTAGCACAAAACCCCAGTTCAGGAGCTAAAGTCGGAGAGATAAGAAAATCAAAGAAACCAACCAGTTTAAAACCAGTATAAAAATTATTTAAAATCTAGAGATTCTCCAGTAGGAATGAGAAATTCCATAACAACTGCAAGCAGGAGGGAAAAATTGATTTTCTACAAGGATGATTTGAATACTTAGAAGAAATGAAGCAAAATAGAAAAATGGAATAAAATCTCTGGAAGAAAGGAAAGGAAGTAGAATAACTAGCCTAGAAGCAAAACTGTTAATTCTTACTAAAAAAAAAAATAGAATCTCTGAAAACTAGAATGAACCACACAGGTATCAGTGATTCCATGAGATAACAAGAAATGTTAGAATAAAAATCAAAAGATTAAAAAAATAGGGGGAAAATTGAGATAACGGATAATTAAAGAATCATCTGATTACCTGAAACCTACCATTAAAAGAAAAAAAACCTGGCTATTATATTCAAGAAGTCATATATAAAAATTGCCCAGATCTATTAGAACCAGAGGGCAAAGTAAAGATAGAAAGAATCCATTGATCACCTCCTGAGAGGAACTGCAAAAGGAAAACTCCCAGTAATGTCAAAGCAAAAATCCAAAGATCTCTCATCAAAGAAAACCAAAAACACTCCTAGTATCAAGAAAAAAAGCAATTCAAGAAACAAGGAACTACAGCTAGAATCACACAAGACTTGGCAGCTTTTATAATAAATGAGAGGAAATCTTAGAATAACATATTCCAAAAGGCGAAAGACATAGGCTAACAACTTAAAATATCTTACCCTGCAATGCTGAGTATAATCTTATGGGAAGGGTAAAGAATATGGGTGGACCTTTAATGGAAAAGAAGACTTTCAAATATTTCTGGTGAAAGGACTAGATTTGAGTAGGAATTCTGAAATAAAAACAGAAGATTCCAGAGAAAACTAGAAAGCAATTGGAAGGAGCTATATGATATGTAGTGATAATGTTTTAATGGAGAGAAGTAGCACATCCCTTTCAGAATCTTAATGTCTTCAAAGTGTATTGAGGGACTTAAATAAGATAATCAAAGGCCCTAGGGGTAGATTGGTTCTGCTTTGAAAGTTTGAAGAGGGGAAAGAGGAGGGAGAGTAAAAGGAATACGCTGGTGCAGAAAGGAGGAAGAAGGAGGTGTGATTTCTTATGATTGAGGTATGTGAGAAAAAGAATGTATAGATATGGAGTAAGGGGTGGGAGGAGTGGGCATCAGATGACCTTTGCTCATCTGAAAATGACAAAAGAGAATTGAATGTACAGTTTAGTGGAGAAATACATCAAACTTAACAGGTAAACCAGTAGGAATGGAAGGAAGCAGTAAAAAGGAAGATAATATTGGGAGGGAATAGTCATAAACTAAATTTCCAGATCCTGAAAAAAATTAAAAGGGAGAAGAGGAGATGAGAGAAAAGGAAAGGAGAGGATAGAAGAGAAGAGAAGTGAAGAGGAGAAAAGAGGAGAACAGAGGAGAGAACAGAGAAGAGGAATAGGGAGAGAGAGAAGATAAGGGAAGGGAGAACTAGAATCTAAGGGCATGCCTTTGATTTATTCTTAGGTAATTGTGGAATGGTTGAACAAATTGTGGCATATGAGTGACAGAATATCACTGAGTCATAAAAAATAATGGAGAACATGATTTCAGAGAATCTTGGATATTATAAACTTTTGCAGAGTAAAGTAAGCAGAAACAGGAGAATGAATTATATAAAGACAATACTGCAAGGGAGGGGCAGCTAGGTGGCGCAGTGGATAGAGCATCGGCCCTGAAGTCAGGAGAACCTGAGTTCAAATCTGATCTCAGACCAAACCTTGACACTTACTAGCTGTGTGACCCTGGGCAAGTCACTTAACCCCAATTGCCTAAAAATAAAAAAATTTTAAATACTGCAAGGGAAATTAACTTTGAACAATTTAAGAACTATGACCGACGATGTCTCTATGGCGTAGCATATTGCTTTCTGACAAGTGACAGACATAAGGTGCAGAAATATACATTTGTGGACATGGCCGATGTGTGGATTCATTATGCTTGACTATGCTTATTTGTTCAAAGTTTTTCCCCCTTTTTCTCTCAGTTTTTAACTGGGAGAGAAGGAGTAGAAGTTAGTAATAGGGATGCCTACAAAAGAGCCATTTTAACATTTTCAAATGCACAGAAGAGAACAGAAAGAATTTCAGAAGCACAGAAAAGGACAGTTTTGAAAGTAGTATGGAGAATTTATGACATACTATTTTTAAAGAAAGCAAATGAAATTAAATGGAGATTCACAGTTTCACAAGGAACCCTCTTTTGTGTTCTGCTGTGTGTCTGGAAATGCTTTTTATGTTTAAATTAAGAATTTTAAAATTTTGTTAAGAAGTTAGGGTGGAAATACTGTGAAGAAGGAACACTGGAATGTGGTTTAGAAGACTTTGGTTCCAGTCTTGTTTCTATCACAAACTGTGTCACCTTGGAAAAGTCACTCTCCTTACTCTGGACTTCTCTATTTTTATCTGTAAAATCCAGGGGAGGGAAGGGGAGATTGGATGAGTGGAAAGAGCACTGGTTTTGGAACCTAGACTCAAATTTCATCTTTGCTATTTCTCCTCTCTTCTAAAAACTGAGAATGAAAGATCATAGGCTTTGAAAACTATATTAGATTTCTTGTAGCTGCTGGTGAGTTACGCAACAACCTTGACTTCTTTAAGGTTCACTTTTCTCTTTTGTAAAGTGAAAGCACTAGACTAAATAATCCTTATGGTGCCTCCTATGATCCCTAAGGTGGCAGGGATAAGATCTAGACTTGTGATTTCATTAGTATTATGAGTGAATTACTAATTAATTAATTAGTAATTAATGCAAGTTGGTGCCTTTTCTGAAACTTAGGTTTTCTCAGGCACTGAGGGGTTGGTTGAGTTGTCCAGGGTTGCATAGCCAGTATGTGTCAGGACCAGGACTTGGACCCAGGTCTTTCTGGTTTAGTGGCTGGTCATCTACTACAGTCAGTTGCCTCTCCCCTAAGAAGATAAATAGGACCAATGTAAAGTCTTACATGGGTTTGAAAATCAGCTTAAAAAGTACAGGATGAGGGAGACGTGATTAGACAATGGATCGGGAGGTATCTGTGGGCTGCAAGCTCAATATGAGTCAGCAATGAGATGTGGCAGCCAAAAATGCTAATGTGATCTTGGACTTCATTATAGAGAGGCATAGCTTCCAGGAAAAGGGAGAGGGTAGTTCCTCTGTACTCTGCCCTGATCAGACCTCATCTGGAA